AACGTAATCGAGAAGTTATAATTCATAGACCCAACGTTTCGACACTCCTGTCTATTGTCTTCATCAGGGATGATCTAATCGCTGCAACAAGAGGTCCTTCCATTTGCCCACTAATCAGCTGCCCTTTTTTCTGACGAGGTGTAAATAGGCCTCAGGTTGTAAGCTGTCATCATCAAGAGGGCGGAGATGATACGCCAGGCTTCCGAAAAAAGCGTTGGTAGTGACGCCGATTAGGGGGTGATAATTTTAGCTTATCCCACCCATTTTTATGGTTAGTTAAGCATGCACTTCGTCAAAGCTGAATTTTCTTTTTTGTAAAAGAAGACAGCTTTTTGACGCTCTTTCAAACGTGTACCAAACTATCGTTTGGTCTGCCTGATATACTCGTGATCACAAACATCGTACGCAATAAAATGAATAGCGTCGGTTCGTTGTTCTTTCGTGACAGGATCCTTACGTTTAGGAAAAAATAAACCCTAAAGTCTGAAAAGGTTTTTGAGCAACTTTAACGTTGTAGCTATTCAAAATTCTCTTTGGTATTCAAAATTCACTTGGCAATTCAAAATTATCTTGCACCTCATTAGAAAAAAAGGGCAGCTAATTAGTGAGTGTATAAAAGGACCTCTTGTTACAGCGATTAGATCACCCCTGATAAAGGCAGTAGACAGGATTGTCGAAAAGGTTGGGTCTCTGTATTGCAACTTCTCGGTTACATTCAATAAATCTTTAAACCAGAGTAGCACCAAACCGTGTCTCAAATTATTCTGTTCAAGTGCTGTTGACAGTTAACCTTTATTAACAACTGTACATGTAAAATTCAAACTTATCAAGTTACAGTTTTAGTATTTACCCTTGGTTAAATGAAAAAATCAGTATCGCAACTGCTTGGACTACTTACTCTGGATAGGCAACGTATTATCTATGTCGGAGGAAAATATTTTACTATTTTATTCCATGAACCACCTTTCAAAACAAGTACAAAAGCGTTATTTTTGGATGAGAAGTTCTAGCTACTGAGCGGGAGAGGGTGGGGGTTATTTGCAGTTTGTTCTACTTCTAAATGTAAGTCCTCCCAGCCAATAGATGAACTGATATGACAACGCTATTAGCTAAAACATGTCCATTTACTAGAAAGATTATCGCAACTAAAAGAAGTAATTACTATTCAGATGTCTCTGGTTCAAGGGCAAGTCTGAGGCCGGTTCTTATCAAAGAAATTTGCAAAGTAGACTTTTCTCGTGAGCATGGTGAGATGGCATGGAATCTGTTTGCTTCCACCATCTGTCCTATATTTGATCATTTCTTGATTCACTTTAGTCAGCATTGTCATTAAGTCGTCAACGTGCGAATTTTCTTGTAGAACCTTCACCAAGCAGGAGATGAACCAAGAGCCCAATTTTTCGCTGTGTCTTTCTCCGTTCACCGTAGAATCTACAAGCTGAAATATTGAATCGGTGTCAGGGCACTTATTGGAGGAAGTACATGATCAATTACCAGTTAAAACTTCTATACTGAGGGCGTATTTGAGAATGAGTGGGTCTGGGAAGAGGAAGAGCTTCTTAATAACACATTGAGTG